TATTCGGGGTGAATAAACGTGGAATGATTTTTTTTTTTTTTTTTTTAGTAATGTTAAAGCCTGAATAATTTTAGAGAGAGAATTGTTTACGCGTTGTCTCGTTGTTTCACTGGAGGAAAAATCAATTAATATTGGGAAATAAATAGAAATTCAATAAATATTATTGAAATATATACTCGTGTCATTTTTAAAAATAGATCGTTCCTGAAGTAATTTTAAGGGAATAACGTTGTTTAAGATTGGCAAATAAGTGTTGGTATCTCGAGATATGGAGTAGAAGTTATATACTTTCGTTATTACTGAAATATCACACTTCTTTCCCAGGAGAGATATAAGTCTTTTATCCGAAGTTTTACGCGGTTTCTCGTTATGGAGCATTGTTTAGTTTTTCAGTTGTTAAGGACGAATGATTAATTGTCGAGCTGCTATCGAGTCACGATAGATTATTTCCCCATTGTATCGTAAATTACAAAATTATCAATTGTATGATTCTTTCGATTGATTGGTAAATTAATTTTGTGGGATTGGATATGAATTGGAGAGGGGAGAAATGTTTCTTCGAATGAAGATCTATGTTTTAGTTTATGTGGAGCATATGCTGCAAGTGTTTTTTTCTATATATATGTATATAAAATAAAATATCGTGAATTTTTTTCTTTTTCGCATGATAAGTTGCAATGCTATCAAATCGAAGGTAATTAATTTTCAAAATTTTAACTTATTAATTTATCCATTAATTAATAGTCTAAAATTCTCAAAAAAAAAAAAAAATATTCATTAAACACAATCTGAAAATTTCTCTATTTTCAGATTTAATTCAATTTCCTTTTACGAATCGAATTAGCATTTTAGATTAAAACCTGTTATAAAATATATATATATATATAGAGAGAGTTGCTTTTAATTAATGATACGTAATAGAAATTCCATTCTAAACAATTCGAATTGACAGGATAATATTCTGTGAAGCGAATTGTTTCGTAGAAAAATACCTTTGAAATTCAATTTAACACGAGTATCTGATTGACACCTCGTGTAACTAGATACATATAATACTTTAGTTACAAACTGTTCCCATATATAATGTAATGGCGTAAACTCTTAAGAGCTCTTGCTTGTCGAATTGTATCGAACGCAGAAACGCATTTACAGTGGCGAAGGCAATTGAATCAGTGAAGTATCGGTCAAATGCACGTGTGCTCGATTGAATTTCAAAGTTATTTTTCTGGACGAAACGAAACTTCATATGACAAAAAATTCCTATTTCCTTCCTATCATTCTCATTTGTTTCGCGCCATAGAATCGCTAGTACTCCACTACTTGTATCGCATTTTTCGTTGTTGTTGATTAATTTTCCGCGGTAAAAAAATTAGAAAAAGATTTTCTAATCTCTGATTAGGAACGAGATGTAAATCAGAAAATAAATATAAAGTGTAGAAAATCTTTACGTATATTAGCATACTTGTTTTGATAATTAATTCGAAAATTTTTCTCTATATTTGACAATTCAAATATTCGTCAATAGTATTTGTACATGTTATAACATATAAGGTATTTGTTTTCACGTATTTTTATTTTGTTTTTGATACAAATAGATTTTTAAATCTAGTAAGGTTGATGTACAACTTTTCCACCTTTCTGAGTAATTTTCATGTTCTACGCTTCCTGTTATTATTCTCTGAAAATAAATTACTATGAATAATTAGTTTCAGTATCTTCTTGTTATCTATATCTTTCATTTTTCTCATTCCATTTTGTAAATTATAAGATTAATTTTTGGAATGTGTTGAATATATTGTCTAGTATTTAAAAATCACAATAGTTATTATAATTCTTTAATAACTAAAGTAAAAACTACAAAATAATTATTTCTTTAGAATAGAATTTTTTAAAAAATTCTTAGACACAAAAATTATATATTTTCAGTCATTCGTTTCAATTAAAGTTATTATAAATTTATTAATTGTTGATTACTTAATTTGTATGTAAATTCAGATTAATTATTTATATGGATAATATCTTAAATATTTTAGATTCATTAATTTAACGATTTAGAGTAATTTTCTAATAATAAAAAATAAAAATTAAAAATGAGATCATAAGGGAAAAAAAAAGGATTTAAGGAAATCAAAAGTAACAAAGTTGTGTGGAAGTTTTACTCTCCGTAGAATTATTTATAACTTCTTGAAAAATTAATGATAGGAAAAAAATTATTTAAAACCGATTTCCTGTACGTGTCGTAATACACATCTCTGAAGCAGTAACAATATGTTGTTGGAAGCAATGAAATACGGTGTAGTTAATGGCAATCGATAAGTTTTATGGACTTGGCTATATGAAAGGAGCATAAAAAGATAAATGAAGCAACATTTATTACGTTCTTTGGCATTCGAGAAAATTTATCAATGATTAATGTTGAATTTGGTGGTTAGTTTTTGTTCCACAGATTTATTTAGATGGAAGATTTCTTTTGAAATATGGGTATGAAGATAAGCAACACTTTAAATAACACCAAAGTATCAAAACATCTAGTGTTTTTTATTTAAATTCTAATTCTCAGTGTAGATTATAAATTTTCATCTAAATTTACTTTTTTATTTAAAAAGAAATAATAATAATTTTCATTAAATATAATAAATATCCTATAATTTTTGGATTCAATATATCTCAATATATCTCAATATATAAAGAATTATGATTTAAAATAAAATGCACTAATAGTAAAGAATGACTTGATCATTATTTTCAATTCTGTTCTTACTATTACATTAAATAAAGGTTACACTATAAAGTCAATCAATATAATATTAAACTAATTTATACAAAATTTAAGAATCTATTTATCGTTTAAACTCTCAAGTTAAGAAATAAATTAAGTGATCAAGTTCAATTAAGTAATTGAATAATTTAATTTAATTCGTCAATTGACATAAACGTGATTTAATCAACTATATTGATTGGCCTTTGAATATTTTATATATCTATACCTATATACATCATATATTATATAACAAACTTTCCTACATTTCACCATCTTCATACGCATAACGTTTCATTGTGCTGATTTTCGCACGGGGAGGAAAGTTGATCATAGCATGGAAAAACAAATGAGGATCCCCGAGCTTTGAAGCTTCTACAATTCAGCAGAAAGTTTCAAGGACAATTTTCCTCTTCCTTCTCCACTTCCTTTCTCCTTCTCCTTCCTTCCTCCTTTGACTCGTCCTCCGCCTATATCCATTCGTCTGTCCTCCCAACTGAACCGAATCTCGACATGAAATAAGAAGAGAGTAAATACTCGAAGTCGTCTCTCTGAGTACATGGGCGTTTGGCACGAAACCAAATTTCAACGGCAGAAGTTATATCATCGTTGGATAGAAGCTATAGTATATATACTGTGTCCCCTTTGAAATCATTCTGCTGGCTTATTTCGACGTCGATGACGATAACGACGTTATAAAGCGAAGCCAGCTAAACTGTGAAAAGTGGAATGTGCAGATATTTTCCTCTCCTTCAATTAAGCTTCCCTCGTCGAGTTAAGGGTAATAATTTAACTTGTATTTATCGAGGCGGAATAATTTTGTTGTGTCTTTTTAATTCCCCCTTTTAAAAGGGGGAAAATTATCAATCTTGTTATGGATTTCGAATTTTTGTGTACGAATTTAGATATTGTTTCGAAGAAGAGAGGAATTTTAACGTGAAGCTAACGGATATTATATTTAATTTACATTTAAGGAATTTTTTAAATATGGAAGAATATATCTGGATTGAAAGTAATTCGATTTGTTACTTTATTGGTCTTGATAAGATAATTCTTTTCAGATTGGTTTATCGATAGGGAGAAATGTTGAATTTAAATCAAACATTGAAATTAAATTAGATATTAATTTATTAATTATAAATACGTTCTGTAATATTCTGTGAAGAAATTGTGAGATAAGAAAAGAATTCGTCAATCAAGTGAAAGAGGTCGATACATAATCAGGCATAATCGTTGCCTTAATTATGAATTATAATCATTTCATAATTGATTAACTGATAATATCGAATTAATTATATTTTTGATCTCGATTCGATCGATTAAAGTTATAAAATATTAGAATAATTAAAATCAATAATATTAATAATCGATAATTAAAGAGAAAAATTAGTTCATTTAACTTTGTACATAGAAAGTTTGTAAAGAGAATGATAAATTGCAAATTTAATTTCATTAATCTTTTAATTTTTTAAGAAAACTTTGTAGTCGAGGAAAATATTCAAATATTCAAGTGAGAAATCTTGTGTAAATAATTGATGCACGAATATATCGTTGGCAATATTGCGGTTTACAATATGCAGGCAAGAGTTTGTACATACTGAGATGGTCATTTGCAACAGTTTGGTAATTATCGCAAATTAATTTGACTGTACAGTGCTTATTCATCTGTCATTCCAATGTGAAATGCGGATACGATGTTATAACGATCCGTTTCCCTCGTGTATCATTGATCATTGATCATTTGGCTATTGAACTTTGCCAATATAGGTACGTTTTCCGTCATTGTGACAATCCCTTTAATTTATTAACGTTGCATTTATGAAAGGAAAGTAGTTTTATGTTAAAAAAAAAAACAGTTGCTATTTTTTTTATCGAATTTTTATCTTTTCTTTTATTGCGTTTTAAAATTATTAAGTTAATTACAATTTTTTATTGAGAAAGGTATAAAGAGATTTTTTTATTTGAAAACAATTTATTTAACTTTACATATTTTGTAGTATTATATTTATATTTTATTTAATTTATGATACATTTTATTAATTGAAAAAAAAAATTATATGTCACTTATATATCTCATTCCATATTACCATGTACGTAATTGTTTTACTTATAATTTGTTGTATATTAAAGTTGATCCATGACGGAACTGAAAATAAAAAAATTTAAACGATCATTGATTTTGGAAATAATAATAAATTGTCGTGAATTTTGTTAGTTATCGAAATGATTTAATAAAATTGGGTTATGTTACAATAGGTTTTATTCTAATATCATATAAAATAATAATTTTCAATAGTTCAACGGATAAAAATAGCAATTACATTTCATTAGTGAAATTTTTATTTAATGTCTCACTTTTTTCAGTTTATAACAATGATAATTAACATTATAATTTCATTTCGAATATTTTATATATATAACAAGTGTTAGAGTTAGCTATTATTATTAATTAGATTTCTCAATTCAAAAGTCAAGTTATTTCTTAATCGATACACAATCAATCAAAACATTCTTTAACATCTTGGTATTTATTGTAAAAACTATATTAAATATTCAGATGTGTTTTAACTTTATTCTAAAAAAGTTAATATCTTATGAATATATATACGCTCAGATACAGAAGATAATGAAAAAAGGATATAATTTTGAAAAAATATGGATTCTTCCATTCTACGTCATCGAATTCTAAAATTATGAATCCTTTTTTCCCCTTATAATATCTGTATTAAAGAAAAAGGTTAATCTGAGAGATCTAATTAATTAATTTTAATATTCACTTTTGATTTTATATATCTAGGATTCACTCTTAACTGAGCAGTTGTGCAACAGTCTTTGGTCATTAGGAAATACTATTATACTTTATTGCGTCTCGTATGTTTAATGCAATTTATATAAATAGTATCACATAGCAATTTGACCGGTGTATTAATTAATTACAATGTGCTCTAGTGCGGTCTAGGAACTCGGACAGCAAATTGTGTTACAGTTAGTTGCAGAATATAATGCAATTTTAATTTTGATTATCGACGAGCACAAGATACACTAGACGCTGTAATTTAGTTTATCCCCTTAACGATGATCGAATAATGGCTACGCATACTTAATTATTAAATGTTAATTCAAGTGAAAATCGAAATTTGGTAAATTCAATTCGTGTCTCAATTAAAATTTCCGACAATTTGAATGTTGAGCTTAAATTTAATTTCTTAAGAAAGTCTATTACGTAAATTTTTACAATTTGTAAATTCAACTTACCTATTTACGTATTAAAAATTACCTATTACGTATTTAAAATTCTTGTAAATCTTTGCAAATTTTCACAATTTAAAAGTGAGCTTAAATTGTGAATCTCAAATTTCCAAAGAAAATTCCAAGAAAATCTACGATGTGAATCTTTTACATACACGCATACTCGTGGAATGATTTAATTTGGTTAAATATTAGAATTCAGACAACATTTAAATTATAAATTGTGTGTGATTATTTCTAATAATAATAAGTCCATTCTACTTCATTTCATTCGTGGTAAGATAAAAATACAGGATGTCAAAAAAATAAGAGTATCAAAATTTAAGAACTTACAGTACTCGTTGAAAGTAATAAAAAAAAAAAAAAAAAAGAAAATCGAATCAATTGATTTCAGAACTTAAATATTTTTTATCCTCTACGAGTACTAAAAGCTCTTAAAATCCCACAATTTTCTTTAAATACTTTGCATATAACCTCGTAAAATCACAACGTAAATGCACTCTCGCATCTACGATATTCACTGGGAGATCATTAACAACTCCTTACTTAACGCACATGAATTGGAATGTGCCAAACTGGAAGGACGGAATCCTCCTTTCTCCTCGAATCATCGTTTCGAAATATTACAACAACAACTCTTATCAACTTCACATTATTATTTCAATTACACCATAAACAAAACATCACACAGGTATGTCATCAAAATATTTATCCATAACAAGATATCTCTGGATCGTTCAATTTTATTCCTTTCTCTCTCTCAATGTCCATTTTCTTTATTCACTATCAGAGATGTAACCATTTTGCAAACTGTCCTTGTGCGCATCTCCATTGCTCGAAGAAGATACCTTGCTATATCTGTACGAATTTCTGTTTTTTAGATACCACTTGACACCCACGTACACGATTATCACGATGAACAAAAGGACGCTGATCGAGAACAAAATGGTCATCCAGTAGAACCAGAGGGTGGAGTGCATGGTCCACGAGAGGTCGCGTAGGATGCACACGGACTCGTCGAGGCTCGATGAAAACTCGGCATCCTCGTGGCAACTGGTGCACTCGGTATTCGAAGGTCCTGAACAAGTTAGGCAGGAGTAATGGCAGTTGGAGCACACTGCCTTTGACTCGTCAGAAACGCCGTAAGTTCCTCTAGGACACTTGTACACGCAGGTTCCGTCGTAGTAGTACCAGTTCAGCTTACATTCTGAAAAATTACACACGTTTGGTCTTTGACGGTCTTCCCTTCCATTTTCTATTTGTGTAAATCTCATCTTGGTGTGTGCGTTCTGTTCCTTCTCTTTTGTGCGTGTTTTGTGGATGTGGTAGATTAGTCTCGAAGACATACGGATGACAATGATTGATTCGTTGGACGTGGATTTTAATTTTTCGAAAATATAGTCATTTCTTTTTTTTTTTTTTTTTAAATTCATATCGATATTTCAATCAGATTGATTTTAATATATTTTGCATGTTATTGGAAATATAGAGAATTGGTTTATGGAGAATTGAAATTTCAGGCATAAAGATAATGGAAAAATTTTAGATGAAGCTTATTTTATTCTGAATTAAAATTTGATATATAGTATTTGAAACTATTCAGGAATTATGAAGTTTTGTTTTATTTTTTTTTTGTAGCATTTTTATTAAAAAATATATATATATTAGAATAGTTCTACATCTCTACATTCTAAATCTCTTTATACGAATTGTTATTTCATTTAAAAAATAAGAGACGTGTTTAAATTAAAATCTGTTTTGAAAAACAAAGGCATGTTAGATTTATTTTAACGAACCAGTATTTTTTGAGTTAAAAATAACTTAAATTTTTAACTTAATTAAAAACGCCTCTATGCAAGTAACTACTCAATATCGAAAAAGGTCCATTGGGAGGTTGTTTGCACAGGCGTTTCTAACGAAATTAAATTACTCGATAATTTGAAAATTAAGCTTCATCTGAAATGTATGCACATCTTTTTCAAAGATTTTTCAAAGATTTTTCAAAATTTTCTTATATTCTCCTTATTTTTCTACATTTTCGAATCGAATTTTACAAATTAAAATTTTAAAAGAAAATTAAACTTTAATCAATTGAATGAATTGATCGAACGTTTCCTCGACTGAATAAACTTTTGCCAATTTAATATTCGTATTTAAACTCCCATTAATAAATATTCATATTGTAATGGGAGGAATCATTGAAATTCAGTTATGTGAATTATTTGTCCCTTAACAAAAGTTTAGAGTAAAGTTTTACCGTGTAATATAAATCGTTTAAGTTGTTAAATCATGAATAGTAGGTTTCTTGGTCGGTAGATTTAGTAAGTTTTCAGATAATCTCGCGAAGCAATTTGAATTTTCAAGTAATACTTATCAAGAGAGAGCGAGTTCTCGGATGAGAGATACGTTTAAATCGTTTTGACGAAGCCAATTTTGATAATAATTTTGTTGGTAAATGTATGAGGAATAATCCATGCGGAACAGGAATTGCTGTTACATTTAATAGTGGAAATCATAAGTACATCTTATAGCATAATTTATACAATATCACGCTTTTGACATTCAATTAATTTAAATATGAATTTTTTTCATCATTGTCATCCATACGTTGAATTCGTGAATATTTTCACGTTCGTCATGTTTATTGTTTCGTGTTGTTTCGAGACAATGTACGTTACATAGCTTACATAAACAAGAAATATATTTACGGATAACATAAATTTTTTTATTATAACAAAATATATCTGCAATAAGCGATTCTATACTATAATGATAATTTAATGTACATTTATTGTGTATTAGGCCTCGGTGAATTGTTATTATTATACTTTGCAAATTATGGAATAGATATTCGAAGAATATCCCGATTTTATATTCGCCCAGCCCTAATGCAAATTTATTTCGAAATTACATGTTATCTCTATATGGGTTATCTTGTAAAAAACGAAGCAAAGAAGTTATAAATAATTAATTTTACTAAATGTTGTCTAATGAATATTTATAAAATAATTTAAGGGACAAGGTGCATGCTGAAGCATATATATTTACTACGCGATTAATTAGCATTGAATGTACAATTTAAACAATAATTGATACATACATAAACATTATTTCTTTTCTTTTTTTTTTTTTTTGGATATTTAAATTTCAAAAACTTTATTTTTCAAAGATTGAATCGAAAGAAAGATTGGAAATTTTTATATCTTTAAAAAGAAAAATCATGGAAAATATTTAAACATAAAATATATATACCGGTTTCAAAGATGTATCTAGATATATTTCCGTAAAAAATGCACGCAAATTTTCAATAATAAGAAATCTTCAAAGTCTTTCTCAAAGCTAAGCAGGAATTGATCTCATTGATTCAATTCATTGATAATTCAATAAGCAATAAAGCAACAGAGAAAATATAAATTGCTAAAAAAGAAAAAAAATCAGTTCAAGCAATGTACAAGTAGCAAGATAACAATGAAAAAGCAAAATTATTAATTGAAACTTCTAATGAAAAATAGAAAGTTCGATGAATCGAAGTATATTGAATCCAAAATATTTTTTGCAATAATTAGAGGGCTCAATGAGAAAATAATAAAAGTATTTTTTCTGTATATTGTGATGCAAAGTATTCCACAAGTAGAGTGTTAAGCAAAGGTACAAATTTTTTTAACTTCTTTCCAATTCATAAATTTAATTCTTTTTTTAAATCATTCATTTTCAAATTAAAAATCTTGTAAATTACATATCATGTTTTATTTAATTTAAATCTTTGAATGAAAATTACATTATATTTGGTACTATCCTTTTCATAAATTTTATAAATCTAATAAAGATGAAATTTATGAGTAATATACACAAACCCATAAAAATTATGGTGATTTTATCTTCTCAAATTAAAAATTTTATCACTTTTCCTTTGAATTACTCGATCATATATATATAAAACATAAAGATGAAAATAAAGAAAATTAATAGATTTTCCATCTTCAATGTTCATAAAATAAAATCTATGCATCAAAATAAAATAATCGACATTATTATTGATACGCAGTTAAAAAATTTTGTTAATAAAACACTCTATTCGTGTTAACATCATGACACAATATACTCGATTCATCAAAGCGCATATAGACAAACACATATAGACAGAGGATATATAAACAGGAGAAATTATAGAAATGATAGAGAAGTAAGACTCACCGTGCTGGTGAAGCGATCAGGGATAGGTGTTTTTTATTTTTTATTTTTTATTTTTTTGATTGGTTGTACGTGTGTGGTTGTGGATGTGGATGTGGTTGGTGATGGTGGTTGGTGATGGTGGTGGTTGGCTGGTCTGAGAAAATCCGCACCGCAACTCGCCCACGGAGAGCCCCAAGTACCTAAATACGTTTTCAGAACCTGCTATGGAGTAGAGGGATAAAGCGACACGTGACACTTTAGGACAAGTAGTTCTTTCTTTTCTTTTCTTTTCTTTTTTTTTCCTTTCTTTTTTTCAATCTACGTCGAAGTGAATTGAATTTTTGTTTCCTGGATATGTGATCACGATGACTTTTTTCTCTTTTTTTGTCGAGCTGTCTCAGTTCTCCTTTTCCTTTCTCTTTTTTTTTTGTCGAGGGAAATTCGATCAATCGCGATTGCAAATTACTATTTGAAATTTTATTTTCGTAAACTACATGTGATCGTACAATTTGAATTTAGCTTCTTCTTTCTATTTTTCAATATTCAATTGATACTGTTGGATCATGAGTGTTTATAATTATTTCATATATTCAAGAGACTTTGAATAATTTATGACGACTACGATCAATATTTTTGGAATATTTAAACTGTTGTAAATTATTTTAATCCAAATCAAATTTAATCCAACGATATTTATACTTTAGAATAAAAGAATTTCTATTGGCAGACAGGATTCTTGTGAATTTTTTTACTCGATCAAAGAAAAGTTAGGGAAAACAAACGTGTAAAATATGAAAAAAGAAAAAAAATAGAGCTGCAAAAAAGATACAAGAAAGGGAACAGGCAATTGTTGAAAATCGACAAAGCGATGCTAGATAAAATTTCAATGTAAAAATATGTTGAGTTCTAAAGAAATAAAAATTATTCGGAAAATATCGTATTATAGAATGCACGTATTAATTTCGATCGACATGTAGTTTATCATAGTTGAAGCAATAGTTAGTTACTCGTGATCTCGTTGTTAGAAGGAACGTGAAAAGAGAAAATTAATTACAAGGCCGAATTAAAATTGCATCATTTCAGCAATTTTCCTTCGTGTCAGTTATTTATAAATAGACTGCAGATTTTTATGTAAAATCAAATATATGATCAAATATAGAGTTTAAATACAATGCAATGTTTAATATATTTTGAATATATTGTGTGCATTCCATAGATTTTTTGTATATTCAAATTATGCATAAATGCATAAATATCCACAGTTTATTTATAAATATATTTAATAAAAATTAGTATTAGTAGATAACATGCATAAATAAAATAAAAATAAATCTAAATTTAAAATCTAAATCTTATTATATTTTAATATTGCATGCAGAATAAGATAATGTGTAACAAAATTTGATATGATAAAGCAATATTTCTTAGCCTATGTATAATTTATTAAAATTATTTACTACTAATATGAATATGATTTACAAATAAATCAATCAGTATAGATTATTATTAGATGAAAATGTTATTATTAAATATTTTATTTAGATATATTTTTAAATATTTTTTCTTTTCTTAATACGTATTTATTTAAAAGAAAAAATATTAAATAAAATATATCATTAAACATACATATATACAAATATATATTATCAAAATATATTATCATTTCATTACTATAAAATAAAAATTTTCATCCGAAAAATTATGGTGTGCTGCAAAAATTTGTAATTAAAAAATCCGTCCCCCCTTTCCCAAAAAAAGTTGGGAAACAAACTCTCGCTAAAGTAATGAAATATCCACTTCGTGCAAGAAAAATAACATGCAAAACCAAACACGTCATAAACCTGTATAAAATAACTTCTTGCAGAAGCGTTGAAGATTCAGTGATGTAATAAATTTAACAAAGCGCAGAGTACATGAACAAACTTTGCGATGTAATATACGTTATCTGGAAAGAAATATTCTAGATACAATCTGACCTGATTATCTATGCGAGAATATACGAACTTTTTTAACAAATTTCACCGGTAAAGTAGA